CCCCAAAACCCCAAAACCCCAAAACCCCGTGATTCGTAATTTATTATAAAAATTGTAAATATTGAGTGTTTATTAATTAGAATGTAATCAATTTGTATAAGTTATTGTGTATGTAGATACTATATATTTACTAGTATAGATTCAAAATTATTATTCGTATTTAACATTATCTAATTGAGATCTACGATAGCTTGGCGACATTTTGTTTCTCTTACTACTGCTTCCATTAATATTTCTTATTTTACTTTATTTCATTTGATCAATGCCTAGAGCGCTATCCCTTACATTATTTAGAAGTTAATTATTTTTTGAATTTTTGGCATCCTATGTTGAGAAATCAGATTCGTTTTCTAGGTATCTGTCCTCATCTTATTCACCTATTGCTCTATTATTAATCTGGTACCATTGCTCTTATTGAGGCTAATTGCTTTAATGTCTTTGATTTTTACGAGAACTCTAAGTTTTGACAATTTAGCCCCCACTTCCTGGAACTGTACCAATACTATTGTTGCTCTATTTTGGAGTAGAGTATTGTTAAAATCTCTACTTTTTACTTAGAGAGTTTATATGATTTACTATGTTCTAACTGTTAGCTATTCCAGCTTGTCCAATTAGATCTCTTGGTGACTAGCTGGCTACTTTACCATGCTTTCCACCCTACTTTCCTTCTTCTATCTAGATCAGATTAGAGTCATAATTTTTAGTAGGACCTATAGATAATCCTCTGTTAATTGACTTAGCTGTTCCTACATTAACTCTAGCTCTTCTTGATTTTACTTCTCGAGTAGGCAATCTATCTCCGAATCTTGAATAGAAATTATTGCCAGTATTGGACATCATTATATTGTAAAATTGCCCATTACTGATTTCCTAAGGATTTACATCTTACTAGTCATTAGCCTCTTATTATTCGTGATTATTAGTTTTTGTTTGAGCCTATTTAGCTCCATTATTAAAATCGTAAAATAGCAGATTCAGATTTTCCTTATGGTCAGTTTGCATCATGTTTTAGTCAATTTGCACGTCATTCTTTGTATTTATTTAAAACCTTATTTTGTATTTCCTATTAGGGTTAGCCTAGTGCTACCTAGTTTGGACGTCATTTCTATGCAAATTAACTCCTTTGATTGGATTATTCTTATCTATGATGAGATTTTGATTATTGTACATAAAATTAGTGAAAGTTTGATATCCATTCATACTACTACTTGGAGCTACTTGACTTGTTTCATTTTAGAAATTAGAAAGTGGACTAGGTTTCTAAATTTAATGCATATTTCCATAAATGCTTGACCTTTATTCCTTTCTACTAGAAATGCCAAATTATTATTATTACTGAGACTAGTAAAACTATGAATTCTTGCTGGCCTTCCTTTCATTCTCAAAATTCGGAGAATATGTATCATTGGCATTATTGAAAAAATTAACACCTGTCTTTGACAAAGCTGGTAATCCTGAAGGTGCCTGATTTTATTAATAGATATGCTGAGTATTTTTACTATCGAGGCTAAGTTTGTTAGTATTCTTCTTAATTGAGTATTGCTAAGCTTAAAATTTTTCAATGCCATTCGGATTGTTTGAACCAGACCTTATATTGATCTTTTACTTCCTTTGCTCGAAAAACCCTCCCGCTCCGTGAACTGTGTTTCTCATGGCACTTGCTTATGGACTAATTTCAAACTGTCTTTATGGATCATAGACACTTCCTGAATTTTCAGGAAATCACTCTATATCGTCATAACTAGCATCACTTTCATTACTCTCTCTGAGGTTATATTCATCAGCATAGATTCCATGAGTGTTCTTTTTTGGCTTTTTGATTTGTTTTAATTGAGCCTTGATACTTAAATTTCTTTGATTTTTTATTTATTCAACATAGCCTTACTCGTTAAAAGAGCTTTTTGTGCTAATCTAGTTGATCCCGGTTGTTACTGCATCTAATGAAGGCTTTTGGCGATTATCTTATGTTACTGCTAAATGATTGTAATCACTTTAAATAGAGCTTTAGCAATTCTAATCAATAGAGGCATCAATGCCAACAACACCAGCACTCTGCAAAACGTTACGCTTAATTTTGAATTGCTATATTTAACATTTCTCTAATTAGGCTGAAATTTGTTTGGTATTAATTACTAATTTAGACTCGACTTTTAGTCTTTCCTATACTCTGTCAGTCTAAAAATTTTCCTAATATACCAATCCATTTCCTAATTGAGTGTCAATTGAGTTGTCAAACTCAGTTAAAATGGGATTTTCAAACTTGTTTTAATTGCCATACTTCAAGATTATCTTATTCTGTTAATTTGTATTGGAAGTTTGGTTTTAGCTCTATATTTAGCTTTAAAATTAATATCTTACCAATTGAGATTTAGATCCTGCTTATCGAGATTGCTGATCCAATTCAGACATAGTAGGTAGAGATTGTCTTTAATTTAGTTGATATTTACTCATTAATTGTTTTTAATGAAAAGATTACTTAACCTTGACCTAGTCTGTATTTCTTTCTTCAATGCTATTAAGTAAATTCTGCTAAGATATCTGTTCATCATTGCCCTAATTTACTGATTTCTAATTAAGGGGGTCGGAGCTTTGATTTTCATTGACATTTTGCGAACTCTGAGATTTATTAATTATAATCTAACTCTTCTTAAGTATCACAGGCGTATTTTGAGCCAACTCATACTCTCTATTATCCTATAATTATCAAAGTATGAGGTAATACCTGCAAATGCACAATATTCTTCGAGTTTCTAGGAGTTTATTTAGAAAGTATGGGATACGCATTATTAGAATTTGGCTTTGTTTCAGCTTTACTCTGCATTGTTTTAAATATATAAATTAATCATTAATCTGTATTTATTTTGCCGACGACTGATTTCATCAATTCCTTAGTTAAATCTATTTCAACTCACGGGGTTTTGGGGTTTTGGGGGGATCGGAAGAGCACACGTCTGAAC